GCTGTTCAGTTGCTTTGACACAATCTGTATTGTTAAAAGCGCTATATAAATAAAGGTGACTTGACTTGACTTGACTGGCGCTCTAATACTGTTTTGTCGTGGAGTGAACGTTGTCATGCTGTTTGTCTTAAGTCTGCTTGTTCGTCTGTGTCTAGTTCTGTTTTCCAGAAGGAGTCGGTGGATCTGTCAAACGTGCCCAAGGAGTACCTGGACCTGAGGGAAGTGTTCAGTAAGTCTCGGGCTGCTTCTCTTCCTCCGCACCGTCCCTATGACTGTGCTATAGATTTAGTGCCAGGTAAGTCTCCGCCTAAAGGCAAGCTTTATTCGCTCTCTGCTCCGGAGAGGGAGGCCATGGAGAAATATATTTCTGATTCTCTGGCAGCTGGGCTTATCCGTCCTTCCTCTTCCCCTGCAGGTGCCGGGTTCTTTTTTGTGAAGAAAAAGGACGGATCTCTGCGGCCGTGTATTGATTATCGGGGGTTGAACAGCATCACGGTAAGGAATACTTATCCCTTGCCGTTGATGTCTTCTGCCTTCGAACAGCTGCAGGGGGCATCTTTCTTCACCAAACTGGACCTGTGCAACACCTACCATTTGGTTCGTATAAGGGAAGGGGATGAGTGGAAAATCGCCTTTAATACCCCCAGGGGGCACTTTGAATACCGGGTTATGTCATCACTGCACCCACGACTATCTGTTTTCTGTGACTTTGCTTGTTTTGTTCACGTTTAATAAATTACCATCTAACCTCGCATTTGAATCCATCTTGTATTTCCTGACAGCATCTGTGCGCCTTTTCCCCGATTGCTCTGCTCCCGGAAGTTCTAGAGAGAGTCTGCCAGGACGGGGTCCATTTATTTCTAGTAGCCCCATTCTGGCCTGCCCGAGATTGGCTTTCGGTCCTAGTGTCCCTCCTTGATGGCTGTCCCTAGAAGATTCCAATCAGGAGGGACCCTCTGACTCGGTCAGGCATTGGAATCATTCATCCCCGCCTGGAATGATAGGTTTGGCCTCTGAGGGGGCCCAACACATACACTCTCAACTGAGGTTGTTGAGACCATACTCCACTCCAGAGCTCCCTCCAGCTGGTCCCAGTTAACTGCCCGGTTGGTTCAGTTCTGTAGTTCCTGCAGGGATGGTTCTCTGCAGGGTTGGCCTCCTCCACCTTAAGGGTGTATGTGGTGGCCATAGCTGCTTACCACGCCCCTTTGGGTGGTCAGTCATTGTGGATAAACCCGTTGGTAACATGTTTCCTTCATGGTGCTTTGACGCCAGGAGAAGCTGAAGTCAGGGATTCCCTGCAAGATGTGTGTGTTGCGGCGGGCTGGTCCTTTCTGCTTACATTTGTTAGATTTTACAATCTAGATTTGGGTACCACTCCAGACTCTGAGGTGTTTCTCTCTTAGCTGTGCTTGCCATGATTTCACACTAGACAGGCATTTATCAGCATGGAGGAGTGGGTATTGCCGTTCTCAAAGCGTTTCTGACGCATCGCGAATTCCCTGAAGAGGAACGTTTCTAGATTATGTATGTAACCATGGTTCCCCTAGGGGAACGAGACACTGCGTCTCCCTGCCATACTTGCTGCATCGTTGTGAGCAGCTTGCTTCGACCTATCAGAAGCTAATGCTGTTTG